AGTTTCTACCGTATTTCACAGGCAGGCAAAACAGAGCAAACAAAAGACCTTTCATAAAAGTAACTTCTTACCCTAACTTCTGTGCACGAAATCTGCTGAGAAGACAAATAACAATCACAAAAGGAAGGAAAACATAAACCAGGTTTGTTCCCCAAATCTTTCATAGAGTACCAATGTTGATATTTAAGTGAAAAGTTTCTGCAAGATCCTGGAAGTAACCCTGAACTCAAGGAAGACTGAGCCGGGAAGGGAAAAGGGGCATTTCCACACCCAAGAGTGTGAGGTGTGGTAGACACCTGCTGTTTTTGTCTTCTTGGGGCAACACTCCTGGAAGAGCTGGTCTTCCCGGAGCCTATTGGAACAGCAATGAGGTTGGGTACTCCATCCAGTCGTGACTCCCTAGCCATGTTTACACAATACATTTGGGCACTGACCCAAGCAAATCTGATCTTATTTCTTCCAAGGGATTTGATATATGAAATATTGGAAAGAGAGGGAGTCTCTTATTTTTATACCAGGAATTATAAGGTTATACGTATGACTGGCACTACTAGCCATATTTCCTACCACATATAAGGAATTTATTTATATCAGAAGAGAATTAGGTCATATAGGGGAAAAAAAAAAAAAAAAGCAGAGACAAACATAACCTGAGAGGAAGAGTAGGAAATATAATCTTGATGACATCATTTGCACACCTGAATGCACCTGTGACTAAAGCCTTTGTTCGGTACAGCAGATTATAAGAGTAGAAAATGAGTTCTCCTGTCCTCACCCACCCCCACCCCCACCCCGCAGTTCTAGCACCAGGGTTGGTAAAGTGGTAAAAAGGTTTTAAAGAAAGAGGGAAGTTACTGGTGCACAAACACAGGAAAGAATTTGGAACTGAACAGCCATCCAGGAGGGAGGGGATGAGGAGCAGAAGTGGAGGAAGAACAGAGAGGGGATGATCCAGTCCTGTGATAGAATTGCTCCTCATAGCTTTTCAAATTTTAAACAAATTCAACTAAATATCACTAAATATTGATGTCAATTGATTTCTTGGGAAAATCCATGTTTTTTTAAAGGTATGTAGTTTTGTATGCTCATAGCTTTATATCAGTGACATATAGAGATGAGAGAGACAAGATACAGTTGATAGTGTGACATGTTTGGTCTTTCATAGGTCCTGAAGTTGGTTGTGGACTAAACCAGTTATTTCAATCTTCAAAGGACCAAGGGGCCTTAGCTAACATCTGAATTATAGATATGAAAACGAAAACAAAAACAAAGAAGATTCAACACACACATAATAGATGTTCCTAGAAAAGAAAACAAAACACAACAAAACAAAAACAAAAGGAAAAAAATTATTTCGAGTTAATACAAAGAACTTCTCCTCAAAGAAGAGATCTAAATATTCAGGTTAAAACGACATACCCAGGAAAAAAGTAGTAAGATCACGACAAGACCAAAAAGTGATCAAGATCCTGACAGAAAAGACTTGTCACCTTTAAATAAAAAATAATACGTATCAGGCAGGCCTTAGATGTCTATCTGCAGGGACACTAGAAACAAACATTGTTGAAAAGAAAAAATATGATACAGAATTCTTAATCTAGCCAGGATATCTTCCAAATGTAAAGACGTGAGAAACACAATCTTATATATGTAAGAGCTTTGTAATTTTAGTAGTAATAAAATCTCTCTAAAAAATCTACTTAAAAAAAAATAACCCTGCTGTCTGAAAGAATAATCAAATTTAGAACTTACAAGTTGAGAAATTGTGATAGAGATAGATTAGCAATAAATACCACAAAGTTAGAAGTATTCACGAAGACAGTAGAAGAGTTTACAGGGACAAAAATGGGAAGTGACACCACAACCCCAAATATCAGAAGTAAGAGAGATTTTTTTCAGGGAAGCACCTAGAAGGCTCTGAGCTCAGAGTTAAGAAATACAGCACACTGGAGAGGGAGTGACATCATGCTACTTCCAGACCGAGCCCTTGAAGGGACTGGCAGCTTCTACTTTCCTTCCTCTTGGAGCTCTTGCAACCCAGCTACCTCTCAGAACCCAGAAGGCACTCTGTGAAAATCATGGGCCACATGGAAAGGTTAAGTGAAGGTGCTCCAGTCAACAGGCCCAGCTGAGCTTCCAGCTTACAGGCACGTACCAAATGTGACCATGAGAGTGAGCCATCTGAATAATGCAGCCTAGGAGGCTCGGAAGAATAGACCTCTGCCCATATCTCACGGAGCAGAAGATGACCCAGTGGAGCCCAGTCAACCCACAGGAGCACTGGAAATTACAGAAGAGTATGTGCATGTTGAAAATACTGATAACAAAAGAGAATACTATAATTAACAAATACTGAGAGCTGAAAAGGGAAAGGGATATAAAAGATAAAGTGTTTAAGTCTTCATCCTTAATGGAAGGAATCAAGACATAGCAATATAATTTAAAGTGTCCATTATAACCACCAGAAGGACAAACCCAGAAAATCTTAAGTTGTTCTGGAAAGTGGGAATAAGGGTAGAAGTAATTCAGAAGGCAGTTTGTATTTTTAATTTTAGACTCTTGTTTTCCTTTTTACTTTTTTTTTTTGCCATGTAAATCTACTTCCTTATTATTTTTAAGAAACCAGAAGGTTATATTTAATGTGTAAAAATAAAGAAATATATAAAAATATTATCACTTCCATAAGGGAAATGTAGATTTTTTTCTTTTTTCTTCCATTTTTAAAATTTAAAAATTTTTATCAACTTATATATATTATATATGATAAATATATACAAATATAAGATATTTTAAAATCATTTTATATACATAAAGACTGATTAGATGAAAATACAAAACCTAACCACATGTACAATGAAGATAAAAGACCTCAGAGAGACTGGAAATAAAAGAAAGAAGAAAAGTGGATTCAGATAGCTTCTCGGCCTTTTGGCTAAGATCAACTGAAAAGTGGAGTCAGCTGGGGCACTTGGGTGGCTCAGTCGATTAAGTAACTGACTCTTGAATTTGGCTCAGGTCATGAGCTCAAGGTCACGAGATCAAGCCCCCATGTGAGGCTCCACGCTCAGCTCAGTGGGAAGTCTGCTTGAGATTCCCTCTCCCTCTCCGTCAGCAACCTCCACCCCATGTGTGTGTGCACATGCTCTCTCTAAAATAAATAAATAAATCTTTTTAAAAATATATTTATTTATTTCAGAGAGAGAGAGAGCAAATAAGCATGAGTTGGGGGGAAGGGCAGAGAAAATAAAATAATAATAGAAATAGTAGTAATAACTTCCTGACCTCCAATACCTTCATTCTTTATCAAGGAAAATGAAGAATTTTTTAAGTAAGTAAACAACTAACACAGTTGGCTAAAGAATGACAACAATATTCTTTAAAAAGTTGAGAGAGGGGCGCCTGGGTGGCTCAGTGGGTTAAAGCCTCTGCCTTCGGCTCGGGTCATGATCCCTGGGTCCTGGGATCGAGCCTTACATCAGGCTTTCTGCTTGGTGGGGAGGATGCTTCTCCCTCTCTCTCTGTCTGTCTCTTTGCCTACTTGTGATCTCTCTCTGTCAAATAAATAAATAAATAAAATCTTTTTAAAAAATAAATAAAAATAAAACGTTGAGAGAAATAATAGCAACAACACAAATGAACTGGAACACTTGTTAAATCACTCTAGCAAGTTTTTGGAACACAAGAAGTAAAACACAAAACCTATCTTTATAAAACGGAATTAATGCTAGCTGGGCTAGCATGAAAAAAACTAGAGAAAGCATAAGTATACAGGAAATGAGGAAGGAGGAAAATCCAGACTGGCCCCACCATTCCACCCCACTCATCTGTGATTCATGGTTAGGATTCTCATTTCTTCAGGCGTTTCATTTGTGAAAGCTAGTCCAGGAGACTCTGGAACTAACCCTAACAGATGACAATTCTGAGATACGGGTGGAGAGTAAAACAACAATCATATTAATATGAAGTCCTCAGGGCGGGATGTTTCTACGGTTCTGCTTAAGATCAAGAGACACATGGGGCGCCTGGGTGGCTCAGTGGGTTAAAGTCTCTGCCTTCAGCTCAGGTCATGATCTCAGAGTCCTGGGATCGAGCCCTGCATTGGGCTCTCTGCTCCGCGTGGAGCCTGCTCCCTCCCGTCTCTCTCTCTCTGCCTGCCTCTCTGCCTACCTGTGATCTCTGTCTGTTGAGTAAATAAATAAAATCTTAAAAAAAAAAAAAAAAAGATCAAGAGACACAGGACGGTTAGTAGAGGAAAGCTGACTTGAAGCAACACGTTTTGTCATGGAGAAAGTTCAGATCCTCATTTGACTGTCTGTCAGTCAATCAGACATAGGTACCATTTGAAATGGGGGATGAAGCTCTAATTGAGGTGATCAGAGGTAGATAAGAGGGGTCTACTCAAAATCAAACAAACAAAAAAAAACCATACTACTTCTTTATTCTAGAATAGAATGTCATAATAGCATCCTCATGTTGGGAAAATATCATTTAATTCAGCCACATCTTGGCAGGTTTTTCTGAACATCACTTTTATTTCTTTATAGTAGATAAATTATCTGGCATACGCACATAAGCAAAGTGCATTTCTTTTGTTTTTCTTTAATTAATTTCAGTGGTCACAATGGTAAAGATCAGCAACAACAACGACAAAAATCCATTCTAGGAAAATGCTACTCTTTTCCATGAATAGCATGCTCATTTAACTTGTTATAATTTCATTAAGGTTAACAACAAAATTTACCTGCTTTCTTCACATGATAAAAATCAATGTTTTCCCTATATCATTGTAAAACTAAGGTTCAATTCATAATTTGTGTCTATACGTATTCGTAAAAACACTTGAGGGAAATGGATTCTAGAGTCTACATAGTCTCCTACATATTAACAACCTTCATGTATAAGTACATTTCTAGTTTCAATTTTGGTTGTTTAGAATTTAAAATTTCGGTACTAATTTTTTGTGTTAGAGCATTGTGCTCAGAAAATGTACTCTGTATAATTTCTGCTCTTAAATTTCATCAGTAGTTTCTTTGTTGCCTGATACTAAATTCCATTGACTGGAAAAGCAGATTGTCCATGTGAAAAGTTTAACATTCGATATGCAGCTATTAGGGTAACTTTGTTCATTTTATTACCACAGCTTCTGTAATCTAGTTTATTTGTTGCCTATGTGATATGGGGAAGACTGAGAAAAGTATTTTAAAATATCCTCTATCAGTATTATATATATATTCATTTCGTTTTTCGTTATTAGATATTTTGACAGAATCTTACAATTTAAGGGAATATGAAGTATAACCTTTATTAACATACTTGATAGTGACATCCTTTCAGGAGTAGAACTAGGTTCACGGCCAGAGCAAATGCAAAATTAAACTTTTAATTTTATAATATTCTGTATTATCTCTGCTTCCCAACCTATCCATGTGTTGTTTCTATTTTTCAAAGATAAAGAAATAAGCAAAATATAAAATAAGACAGTCTTTTGTATCAGTGCTTTATGCCTTCACCTCTACACTGTATGATATTGTTAGCATTATTCTTGCCTTATGTACTTATTTTTTGTTTAAGATTGCCTGAAAATTTTTGGCCATCCTTTCTTTTAATTTATATGAGAAACTATAAGGGATGCCTGGGGTGGCTTAGTTGGTTAAGCAACTGATAACTTGGTTTCAGCTCAGGTCTTGATTCCAGGGTCGTGAAATGGAGGTGGGGAGCATCATAGGACTTCCCACTTAGCAGGGAGTCTGCAGATTCTCTCTCTCCCTCTGCCCTCCCCCCTCATGTGTGTGTGCCCATGTGCACGTTCTCTCTGTCTCTCTGAGATAAAAATAAATAAAATCTTTATATCAGAAACTACAGGATTATCTAATATTAGAAAGTTTGTTAGTATAATATTATTAAATAAAACAAGGAGTTCATTAGCTTGATGCTCTGGCAGCCTTCATAAGCCAACAAAAACCAACCAACTTGGAAATGTCTCAGGGTTACAAATTGAAACCTAAGGACAGCCAATCACAAACAGCCAAATAGGCTTTCCACTTTAATGATCAATGATTTTCTTTCCTTGCCTCTACACTCTTTCTATGTAAGTCTCTCCCTGAGTTCATTATGGAGTGTCCCTAACCACTTAGTGGCCTGATTTGAACTAATTTTTGCCCAGTAAACTCTTAACATTTTTTATATGCCTCAGTTTATCTTTTAACAATATTAATAAGCCCAATAAGCCTTCTATTTGTTTTAAAAGGACCCCTTTAATTCCAAAGAATTATGATTTTTTTTTTTTAAGTAGGCACCATACTCAATGTGGGGCTTGAACTCACAACCTTGAGGTCACAAGTCGCAGGCTCTACTGACTGAGCCAGCCAGGTATCTCTCTGGTAAGTCTTTAAAAAGCAGTATATCCTAGAAGGCATTCAATAAAATCCAACATCTGTATACCTAGTGCTAGAAAACTAGGAAAAGAAAGACACGGTGTGAATCATCTTACCTTTCCTCTTTTCTGTGACCTGTTTTTCAGGGCATCCCTAGAAATCTCACCGATTGGATGGATGCTGTCTGAAAATTGATGGATTTGGTCTGAAAATTTTTGTCCTTTCGTAGGAAGTTTAACGTATTTATACTCATAATTAGAACAGGTATGGTGATCTTTCTTGTGTTATTTTGTTTCATAATTTATGTTTAAATTCTACTAGTGATTACCTTTAGGCTATTGCAACAAATCTGCATTTCTCTAAATGACAAAGCCCGAAAGAGAAATGGAGCTCTCCTTAACTCTCCAGCTCCATTCAAGATAAAATGCATAGTTGACTTCTGCATTTCTTAAACCATGGGTTCCCTTGCCTTTGCTACTATTATAATACAGATTACTGTTAGTTAAATATTTTTATATTATGTGTCTTTTCTTTCAATATTTCCATGAATGCAAGTGCAGAAAGTCTTCATAGATCTTAACAAGAATTCAACAATTAAAAAAAGGATAACCTATCATCACGAAGATATGCAAAAGTGGCTTAGCAGTAGGAATATGAATCAGTGTAACTTGCCCTATTAACAACACCACAAGGAGGAAAACTACTCTATGAACATTGCAAAAGATACAAAAAAAGAGCATGTTTCAGCTTGTGCCAAAGACCCACTGATACCTGAGCTTCTGTTTTTTGTTTGTATATTTTAAGTCTGTTTTGTCTCCGCTCAGTTGGGTAATTTCTTTTGTTCTCACTTTAAATTCAGTCTTCAGGTCATCTTCATCCTGCTATTGAGCTCATCAGCAAGTTTTTTCATTTTGGTTATTTGTATATTTCAGTGCTCGCCGGTGAAAATAAAAATACAGGCACGAAATGATTGCAACCAGCAGGGACAAAAGGAATAGGATGGGAGCCAGACCACAGGTATCCAGGAATATTCACAATGTAGGGAGCTTAAAAAGGAGTTTTCATTACTTCAGCAGATAAGATGGATGCCGAGTCTGCGCATGGCGGGGTACTGCACAATGTCAAGGATGAGTGGGATGATTTTCGTGATAGAAACTGAGAGGATCAGAACTCCTAGGCACCAGGTAAGGTCCTATTGAATATGGGTGTCTTAAGCAGAGCCTGGAAAATATGCTCATATGTACACCATTCGTTTTGGGGAAGTGATTCCAATGGCGGGAGGTACTGGAAAGGGGGAATAGGATGACAATTGCATTTTCAATGGCTCACTGCTCTGGGGACCTGGAGTTTAATCTTGCTGGAAAGTTGGTGAGGAGCCATGTATAATTCACCTGAGAACTGTCCACCAGAAGGATAGAAGAGCTCTCCACCCTGACGTCAAAGGTCGTCCTCTGGTGTGTTGTCTCTGTCCTGCTGGCTCCCATAGTATCCTAATGGCAAGGCAGCTAGCTCCCTGCAGGTCTGCTCCCTCAACTGGTTGAGGCAGGTGTGAGGCACTTCAGGCAGAAACATGATGTATTCATAACCCTTAAGATCCCTTCTAGCCTATAAAATTCTATGACCCCAGTTTCATCTTCCCATTGACCATCCAGCCATGGTAACCCTGGGTTGAATGTTTGCACTTTATTGGTAAATAATTTCCTTAGAAAAGGTAAAACGTGGAACTTACAATGATTCCTTTTCCAATTTTTTTTTAACCAAAAGAATAATCTTCAGACAGAAATCTAACTGTACTTGTCTGTTACATGTGGTCCCAAATAGCAAGAATTTGAAGTTCTGAAAAATAGTTATGAGTCTGAATATAGACTCTTACACGACTAGGTTATAACAAAGGCAACGCTAAGCAAAAACATAAATAAATGAAAGATGTGGTAAGGACCCTTTTAATGCAATTTCCCCCAAACTTTTTATTTTGAAAACTTTTAAACTTACAAAAAACTTAGAAGAATATTTCTTTGTTTTTTTCTTTTTCTTTCTTTTTTTTTTTAAAGTAATCTCTTCACTCAGTGTGGGGCTCAAACTTACAACCCCGAGATCAAGAATCGAATCACCAGCCAGGTGTCCCCTAGAAAAGCTGCAGGAATAGCACAAAGAACTCCCTGGTACCCATTCCCTTGATTCACAAATGCCCAATATTTGGCCACTGTCACTTCCTCTCTTTCTCTTTTTCTGTCCCCTTCTTTAAATAATTTTCTCTGAATCATCTGCAAGTACCTCTCAGACATCATTGCACTTTATTTCAAACTACTTAATCCCTAACTTCTAAGATAAAGGACCATTTCCTACATATGCTGTGATCATATTCAAGAAGTTTAACATTGGTATGTTATCTAATAATCATTTACTATTAAAATATTTAAAATAATGGCCATAAGGGAGAATTTTCCTCTACCCCTCCTATGTTCTCCAGGTGGGGCCCTATACATTAGACCGTCCAAACACAGATCAACAGGCGAAAAACAAACAGCAGTGTATTAACATGTATTCTGCTCATGTCCACATGGGAGCACCCAGCAATGAGTAATCCAAAGGAGTGGTTAGAGCTCCGGCTCCTGTGCGATCTTAGGCTAAACACAGGAAAGGTGGCTTGGACTTTTGGCCAGGGGAGGCAAGTTCTGAGAAGGTGACCTAGAAAGTATGGTAAACTAAGGTTGTTTAGTAAGGCTTGTTTCACAGATTAAGGTCAGCACTTTCTCCTGGGATAAGAACTGGAAGAGACTTCCTCTTCCTTTGATCAGAGGGAACAGTATCTTTACAAATGGAAATTTCCATTTCTTTTACAAAAGGAAAACTTGTACCTTATTTTTAGAGTTTTTCCTCCATGTCATTAGCTAAAATAATCCATTGGCCAGCAAAGGCATATTTTGGGGTGGCTTAGTTACAGCCAAAAGTCCGATTTCCCCAATTGTCCCAATAATGTCCTTTATAGTTGGTTTTTTTTTTTCTGTTTTTAATCCGGGACCCAATCTAACATATACTGCATTTAATTGTCACGTAGCTTTAGTTTCCCTTAATCTCAGTCTTTTTCCCCCTACTTAAAAGATAAAATATGTAAGGCTCCTGGATGGCTCAGTTAGTTGGTTAAGTGTCTGCCTTCAACTCAGGGTCCTGGGATTAAGACCTGTGTTGGGCTCCCTGTTTAGTGGAGACACTGCTGCTTCCTTTCCCCTGCCCCCTGCTTAAGCTCTCTCTCTTTCTCAAATAAATAAGTTTTAAAAAGGAAAGGTACCATATGCAAAGAGTCCCGGCCTACTGTCTTATACAATGTATCAGAATTAAATTCAGATTAATCACTTCAGCTGGACTGTTGTGTCCTCAGCATCTTTAGTAAGCTCCTATGCCTTATTAACTTGGTCCCATCCACTTTTAAACACTCTTACTTTCTGGATCAGTAAGATGACCATGATCCAGACCCACCTTTTGCTTTTCCTACTCCAGACCTGAAATCAAACAGGGAGTCGGTTCCTTTCAGTGGCAATAGTTTTTTGATCGCTGTGATTTAATATACAGCATTTGTATGCTGTGGGAAAAAAGAAAAGTAGTCTTGGATAGGTTGGGGAACTGTGATAATGTATCCCATGATCTACTTTCTCCAGTAGATATCAATTACTTTATAGTTGCTAATTATGGAAATAATTTCTGACAATTGGTTTTTAAAAAGATTATCATCGGCTACATTAAATTAATTAAAACAAGGAGGTCACTACACTGTGGTGGCTTTGATACCTTAGTAGCCTACGGAAGCAAACAAAACAGACACCCAAAATGCCTCAAGGTTAAGAAATCAAAAACCTAAGGACAACCAATCACAAACAGCCAACGGGGCTATAAAGCCCTAGCTGTAGCTGATCAAATGATCTCCTGGCTTTGCTTCTGTCTTTATAAAAGTCTCGTCCCAGTTCCTGGGGCGGGGTGGGGGGGTGGAGAACCCCTTAGCGCTTACAGTTCAGCACTGCCTGATTCAAATCAGTGGTTGCTCAAATAAACTTAAAATCTGTAATATGCTTCAGTTTCTCTCTCTCTCTCTCTCTCTCTCTCTCTTTTTAAAGATCTTATTTATTTATTTGACAGAGAGAGACACAGCAAGAGAGTGAATACAAGTGGGGGAGGGAGAAGCAGGCTCCCCACTGAGCAGGGAGCCCAGTGTAGGGCTCCATCCCAGGACCCTGGGATCATGACCTGAGTCAAAGGCAGATGCTTAATGCCTGAGCCACCCACGCACCCCTTCACTTTCTTTTTTAACAGCCATCTCTTGTCCTTAAAGTCATCTGTGGAACTTTGATAAAACGTTTGTTCATAGGTTTAAAATAGATTGTTCAAAGTAATGAGATTCAGAATTTGTATTCCAGGTGAATAATCTGATTGCACAATCTTAAAAGTTTTCTTCTAAATCAATGTTACATGATTTTGCAATGAATGACAGTGACCCCTACTGGGATTGGTCATGTAATGATTTACTTAATTGAATGATTCATTGGCTATGACACATGAGACAATTATTTCTGCTACATTATGATATTGTCTGTCTGATGCAGTGACTGAGCTGTGCCCATGCATGAGGAATCCTTAAGTGCTGAATCATGAGAGCAGTGATACAAACTCTTGTAATTATTTTTAGTCTAAATATTTAAATATTAAATAATAACATTTCAGAAATTTGCCTTTTACCCACATCCCTTTTGTCTGTTGGGGGAAGTATGGGAAGCTACTAGTTTCTTAATGCATGAAGAAATTAGGAAAAAAGAAACCTTTTTTTTTTTAAGATTATTTATTTATTTATTTATTTGACAGCGATCACAAGTAAGCAGAGAGGCAGGCAGAGAGAGAGAGAGAGGAGGAAGCAGACTCCCCGCTGAGCAGAGATCCTGATGTGGGGCTCGATCCCAGGACCTTGAGATCATGACCTGAACCGAAGGCAGAGGCTTTAACCCACTGAGCCACCCAGGCGCCCCAAGAAACCATTATTAAGAAAAGATTCTACGTTAATGATACCATCCCTGGATACACATATGATATCTTTCCGGGATGAACATTTTTTAAGCTTTTTAGAAAATTTGTGCTAGAGATGTTTATGAATCTAAAATCCCACTCTTTCAAAATCCACTTCAGCTTGAAAAGGTATGTTTTTGTTTGTTTTATTGTAAAATAAACATAGCAAAATTTATCATTTTAACCATTTTCAGTTGTGCCATTTGGTGGCATTAAGTACATTCATACCATTGTGCAAAGAAGAAGGTAGGTCTGTAAGTTGTGGCCTTGGTCTATTCAGATCTGTTTCGAATTATGTCAGGCACAAGGGGAAGTTTGTTTGAGCCTATTTCATTCTGGTTTATATACAGCAGAGACAGGAGTCGGGGTGTGTAACATCCCATCCTATCTGACAGGCTTGATTTTAATGAGAACAAACACTACATATAAAATAAGGAAACCTTAAATAGAATTCATTTTTTATTTTTATAAACACACATAAAAGTAGACAACAGAAGGGGTGTCTGGCTGGCTCAGGTCTCCATCTCTGGGTCATGAATTCAAGCCCCATGTTAGGCTCCACACCCAGTAGAGAAAGAAAAAAAGATAGATAACAAAATCTTTTTGACACTAATATATAAATGGATAAATGATGTAAACAATTCATAAGATATAATAATAGTTGTAATATAAATAACAAAAGAGCAAAAACTTATTATGCTTTATTATATGTCAAGCACTGTTTTAGTCAAGAAGTACTTCATTTCTGTTATGTTACTTAATCCTCATAACAAACCTATGAGGTGGACACTTGTACATCAGAGAAGCTGTGCAGTGTTAAGAACACTGCTACTGGAACCAGAATTCATAACCTGGGCTTAAATCCTGGTCTGCCATTTATTGCTGTGTGGCCTGGGAGAGTTACTTAACCTCTCTGTGCCTTATTTTTCATTGTTAAAAAAATAGGGCCTGTGCCAGTAATAGTACCTACCTTACAGAACTGTTGTGAAGATTAAATAAATCACGGGGCACCTGGGTGTCTCAGTGGGTTAAGGCTCTGCCTTCAGCTCAGGTCATGATCTCAGGGTCCTGGGATTGAGCCCCACATCGGGCTCTCTGCTCAGCGGGGAGCCTGCTTCCCC